GAATCAATCCACCTCATAGAGGGCCTTCCTCTCCTGCGCTGTCCCTCCACCCTCCCAAGCATGATACTATGCTATAGTATAGTATACTATACTATAGATACTATAGTAACTATGTACTAAAATACAAATAGACATTTAAAAAACAAACAAACCTCCAACTAGGAAGCCCTACTTTTTTGACACAAAGTCACCCTGACCACTTGTCTCACACTTGGAAAGGTCACCATGGAGATGTAACAAAGCTAGCTGCATAGGAGACACACCAGCCGGGGTCCCCAGAGACCCTCCTTGGAGCTGTGGCCTCAATGAGCAGCTCCAGCCATCTGCAGTCCAGCAGTTCATTTTCCCCCCATCCACTGACAAGAAGGGAGCTTTGGGGCAAAATCAGAGCTGCCTGCTCTCCTCCCATAAAAACTAGCACCCTAACTCCACTGGCCTCAGAAGCACCCCTCCTGTACCAGGTGGGCTGACAGAGCCAGGAGGCGCATGCGTGCTCTGACCATCGCTCACACCGACCCAGCCCTTCTCGGCATCATCTTTCCACACATGTCCCCGGTTCCTTCAAGTCTGTCTGTCTTCCATAAAACCTCTTCCCTCCAACTCGGGGAGCCTGGAATTAAAGGCCGCCCAAATCAGTCCACGCACTGTTAAAATGTCACCCACCAGGAAAGAACGTCAGCCCTGAGCACGGTGCTCTTTCCAGATCTATCTATAGGGACCAAACTGACAGCAGCAGCTGGAAAGGTCAGACAGGAACCAGAGAGGGTCGTGGGGTCACGCTAATGAGGAGAAACAACTCGGAGAAGGGGTGAAACGGCTCCGCGACTCCAGGAATGGAGTCAGAGTCGTGAGCTGGATGTGGAGGAGTGAACCAGCATACGTTCTGCTGTGCGTATATTCAACAAAAACGGAATCCACTCGACCTCTTACAATGTCGCCTACCAGTGCTGTCCCGACCCCCCGCTCCACAAAGCCCACAGATACAGGGTCCTCTCCCAAAGAGACACGATCCCTAGTACAGTGCTGGCAGACACGGTTAGTTTCTTGCCTTTAAAACTGAGACCTCAGGAGAAATGATTTTGTTCTTTGGATCCAAAACCCGAACCAGAAGCTTCCATAGAGAGACTTACATACTTAAGTCTCATTACGGTTGTTGTTGTTACTATCAAGAGGTCTGCAACTCCCAGCGACCCTCTCTCTGAACAAGAGATCAGAAGCTGGCCCCACCCTGCCCCCTTCACCATCTCTGATATGCTCAACCCACCGTTACAGTCACTACTCTCCCTCCTTGTTGAAGGGCCTCCTCTCTTTCGTTCATCTTCCACTTTCCCAGCATGATACCCTCCTCCAAGGACCGGCCCTCCTCACAACACGCCCAAAGTATGCGAGACGAAATTCCATCACCCTTACGTCTCAGGAGGACCCGTGAGAACTCAGTTCTCCTCTCCAACACGCCATTCAAAGGCACTGATTCTTAGGGGGGCTCTGGTGGCCTAGTGGCAAGAAGCTGCACTGCAATCCCAGAGATAGGCGGTTCAAATCCACCAGATGCTCTGCCGGAGAAGGAGGGGCCATCTCCTCCTGTACCAGTCAGATCCAATTTGACGGTACACACACAGAAAATAATTTAAAAAAATAAATTTTAAAACAAAAAGGCACTGATTCTTGCTGGCTCTTCCTTACTCACTGGCCAAGGTGCAAAGGAAGCTAAGACGCTTACAGCCCAAGGAGCCTGGTGGTGCAGTGGGCTAAGCAATCGGCTAACCGAAAGGCAGGTGAGTGGTCTGCCTCTCAGAGAAAGACGAGCACCGTGTTCTCAGGACACTCCAGCGGGGGCACCAAAGTCAGCGGGCTGCCAACGCAGAGGCTCTGCTGCTTCCTCCGTGGTTCTTCAGAGCAGTCTAAAATTCCTCACGTGGCTGTGCTGACCTGTGCCTTTCTCGGTCTCCAGCTCTCAGTCTCCATCTCTCTCCACGTCCCGTCTCTACCCATCTGTGCCACTCTAACTCTGTCCATCTGTCTCTTTTTTTTTCTCACTGCTTCTGACCACTTTTGAGTCTGTTCATCTGCCTTTGTCCATCTTTTCTGCCTCTGACCACTTCTGTCTCAGTCCATCTGTCTGTCTCTGACCACCTGTCTCTGTCCATCTGTCTCTCTCTCTTTCATCATCTCTCTCTGGGCCTCTCCACCTGTTTCTCTCTGTCCATCTCTTTCTCTGTGTCTCTGTCTCTGACCATCTTTCTCTCCTTCTGCAGCCGGTCTTACTGCGTGTGCTATACCATACACCGGGTGTTTTCTGGTTCCTCCTGCGAGACGTTTCCTTGCTAGCCCATCTTCCTGAAGGGCTCGCGTCCAGGCTCCTCTTGGCCAGGCTATCTCCACTCCTATCACTCAAGTCCCAGCTCAAACTCCCTGCAGCAGAGACTAACCTGACCTCTTTCCAAGCCGTGGTAAAGCCTCTGTCATCCGCTTCCTTCGCACCTGTCCCTCCTTTCTTCCACCTGTCACACTGGCTCAGGTCTGTCTCTCCTAATAAATTGTCAGATGTGAGGGCAGACTTCTCTCATCAGCCTTCCTCTCCCAGCACTCTGGTAGGTTCACAGACATCTGGTAAACTAAAGCCATTGGGATTCTAATCATCATCACCGGTCGCCAAATGGTACAAAGCTGAGCCTTGTTCACCTGATCTGAAAAGACTGATTTAGGCCGGGAGCATTTCTAAAACCTCTCTGGACTGTAAATTTGCGGATTCTATATTCTTAAGACATAGCCAAATGTTTTCCTAATTCTGGGGAGTTTATCTGCTTATTTCTTTTAATATTTTTTTACATTTTATTTTGTCATTGTTACTGAGAATACAAACAGCAGAACACAAGCCAATTCAACAACTTCAAGACGTCTAATTCAGTGACATGATAACTTTCTTCAAGTTGAGTAACACTCTCCCCTTCTCCTTCCAAACTGTCCCCGCCCCATAAAGCTGCTCTCACAGCTCACCCTTCAGTGCTGTCAATGTGACCTCAGACAATTCTTTTTTAGTTCATTATTTTTAAATTAATATTCCGATTACTAAAGTAACATTTCAAAACCTAGCTTTCCTTAAACCTTGAAATTAGCAAGTCCTATCATTCAATTTATAAACAGTAAATGTGGGGTCTGGGGGTTTTTTTAAATAAAATTTTCATTTTAATTGTGATTTTAACAAAAGTGTGCCGAAAAGTTAGGTTTTCATTCATTCCCTGTTGCACATTTTTACCTCCTGCCCGTCCCTGCCCCCTTTGTCCCCCCACCCCTGCCAGCTCTGCTTCCCGAGCAGCGTACAGTGCTGGAGGCAGACGCCCTCACTGGTTAGCTGTTGTTTGGTGCCATTCGACTGACCTAAGCACCCGGATGTGAGCGCTGCCCTGGCCTGCACATCCGCACGGCCTCTGATACGCTCATGTCCATCTGGTAGTCACTGCAGCGACTACCTGGCTGAGGGTCTCCTCCTCTGACCCTCCTTTCTCAGAATGGGCTGCTCCCTCCAGACAGCATGTCCACAGTAGGCGAAATGAAGCCTCGCCACCCTTGCACCATCTTTACTAGGCAAATTGACCTGGTGTTTGCTTTAAAGAAGCCCTTAGGGTCTATTTTCAGTTTAAGGTTCTGTTTTTATTGAAAATCACCGCTAGATTCGGGTTTAGGTAATACTTGCTGCGTCCCCACAGTGGAAGAGAAGCTATGTGAAGGACTGTCACACACATTAGGCTGCACAGATAACAACCAGACAGGCTAACCACCCAGGGACGGACGTTCCTTTACGGACAGCAACCACGTCCGAAATGGCAGGGTGAAGGCAGGCAGGGACGCTGCACGCTCAACACCGCAAAGCTGGCGAGGGTCACAGCTTTCTGATGACTGAAGTATCAAAAGACAGCAAACTCTGAGTTCCAAACGGAACATACCATGACATATAGAAGGGAAGGGAAGCATCAAATTAGGGTGACCAGCCTAGATTAAGGTGTCAAATTACACCACCACAGGTTTACCTGTACCAGACTGAGTCCCACTGAGAAACAAGCCGGGTTCTCAGGTACACTCCCAGGAACGGCCTCTGTGAGGAGCACAGACACTCACCTGGCGGAGGTTAATGTACACTGCATTCTGGAGGAATTCCGAGGCCTCCATGCTCCGTTTCTGAATTGCGAGAACACGCACCGCTTTGACACAAGCCTCCAGCTCGATCACACCAGCGTTCTTATACTGGGGGGACAAAGGAGGGGTCTCATCAGCAGGAAGGGGAACGTCATTTCTGTCTCAGCACCTTCAAGACCCAGGACTCAGAGATGCTGCAACAGCCCCTCCCCACCTGAGACATGTCCTTCTGAGCAAGCACGGTCACCTGGAGGGGAGGAAGAGGTGAGTAGCAATGCGTGAGTCTAAAAACACCCATGTGTTTCTATCATCATTTTAAACTAGTTACGTCATGGCCATGGAAGTGAAAACCACAAAGGCCTAGATCTGTAAACCGTGAGTGTGTGGGAATGGGAGACTCAAAGGGACATGGTGAGTCCTCTCACGGCACTAGATTTGTGCCACACACACTCAAATGCATGCAGTCAGCCTCCATCTTTGAGCTGAACACTGCTGTTTCCGACTCTGCCCGGTAAGAGATCTGGTTACTATGCAAGGAACACGCTGCCTTACTTTTCAAAGAGGGAGACAGAATTTCCAGCAGGACTTCAATGTAATCTCCAGCATTAGGTTAATGTTCTGGTTCAGCCACATTTTAAAAATTCAGGTCCTCTGCGACATTGCCTCATCAGTTAAAAATGACTTGTATGGAATCAAAAGTTCTGTTTGCATTCATTAAAATAAAGCAATCACAATAACTTGCTATTTTGCAAAATTTCAAAAGAATATCTTTGGATACTCTAGTATCTATTTCCACTTATTATTCCTCTTCTCTAGGGCACTTTGAGACTCTTACACCTACAGTTTTAGTGCATCCAGAAACTCACCTCACGTTGCTGCCGGAGTCTGGCTGCCTGTGTGAAAATCTGCTGAAATGGCTTTCTTGTTTTCCATCACAGAGCTGCTTTTTCCTACTTCTCAGACCCCACTGCAGCTCCCCAGATGAAGGGCCAGGAAGACACCCAGAAAGGGACGGCCTCTGTGTACATGTCTCCCTCACAATGACCCGCAGGACAGACAGAACCGCCTCACGGGCTTCCAAGGCTGTCAGTCTTCATCAGCAAGCACTGCCTCATCTTTCTGACCAAAACGTCAGAGGTGGGAACTCACTGGCCACTCCACACGAGAAAGATGGGCCGTCTCCTCCGGTAAAGGTTTTCAGCCTTGGAAACTACCAGAGGACCCCAGGGCCAGCCTGACATAGCGGCCGCCGGTCAGCACTGACGGAGGAACCTGCCACAGGAGTCGATTTCCATAAAGCATTTAACAGAACAGTTTTAAAAAGGATGATAACATGATGAATCGGTATAAAATTACTTCCTTCAAAAAGTCCTCAAAACAGCTTCCAACAAAGTGAGAATGAAAGTTCAGGTTTTTCACATATTTTTATTAAATGTGTATCTTTTAAACTATACAGCAAATGATTTACAGTGAACCCTGAGAAAGAATTCATGTGTTAGGAGGAAGATATATGCCACACATGCTCAGGTTAAGAGATGTGCAGCTGTATTTGTGGATACACATCAATGCAATCAGGCGTAGGAACTGTACGAGGGAGTTTAATACCCTGCCATTTCACAGAGATGGAGCAACTTTAAAAACCACTTTAAGGGCTAGGAAACAGTCTCCCGGCTTTTCAGGAGGACAGGAGAGTATGGGAGATGGAAGGTAAGGAAGTAAAGGAAGGAAAGTCCAGCTAGAGAAAGGGGAACCACCACTGAAACAAATGTGAAAGTCAAGTTCATGTTGGATCAGAAGACAACATAGCACTGCACTGCCGAACTCAGATGTACAAATGCAAAACAATGACAAACCATTTAATATTTTAAAAGGATAATAGGCAATTTCGTTCATTGGAAGGTAAATTGTTCATCTTTGTGGAAGACAATATGGTAAGGAAGAATAAAAACCTTTTTAAAAAACCAACATATGTACTCTTTCATTCAAGTCTACTTTGAGAGATTGTTCCCTTAAAAAAAAAGAAACTGTCCACAAAGATGTGTCTCCAAGGACATTGACACAGCACTGCGGACAGTCTCTCTCTTGGACAAGCACCACTGACCCTCAAAGGGTTTCCAGAGGCTGTCCATTGCACAGGAGGAGACTGCCTCGTCTTCCTCTGCAGAGCAACTAGTAGATATGAACCACTTGCCTCTGAGTTGGCAACGTAAGTAACTCCTAACCCATTAGGCCACCAGCACTTACATTAGTAGGAAGAAACAGAAACTAAGTTAAATTCAGTACCAGAAGACTGGTTAAAAAATGACTGCACATCTTTTTATTTCCTACTGGAGAAAAAAATCTGAGAGTAATTGGAAGTAAGCCAACACATATCCAGCAATTAAATGTCTATAAATTTAATATAAAGGAACGCCCATACAAGAATAGTCAGAAGAGCACTTTTCAGTGCTTTACATGGAAACAGTGGGGAAAGTGAGACAAGGTAAGCGTCCACCACCAACAGAATCACCGTCCACGGGATGTTCAGTGCTCTTCTCCAACACCACAGCTCAAAGGCATCCGTTCTTCTGTCATGCTGATTCGCAGTCCAGCTCCCAGATGCATAGCTTACTTAACATTTAAACCAAAGACTCTATGGAAGAATCATGATCCAAAGGGAGAAATTGAAACTCTCATGGACTACAGACTTTGTAGAGGCCTGGAGGGGAGCTGAACCCTTGAAAATACTGCTCTGAAATAACTTTGAAACCTCCAACCAAAAATATCCCTTAGAGACTTAACTTCTCAAAACAAACAATGCTTTAGCATAACTCGTAAAGGACGTCTGCCTTGAGCAGTGAGCTCTTCAAATTCCTATCTACATGGAATCACATTGACAGCACAGTATTATGTGGAGATAGATGGCATTTTGTAAACTATATTTCCGCATATATCCATTTTTTTGAAGCACAGTTGGTGGTGAAAGATCTACGTCAAATGTCTGACAGCCATCATTCTCCAAACAAAGTTCCAATGAGGGAGCGAGACGGCTTTCCTGGTTTACTCAGCTCCTCTCCCCTCTCCTTCTTGAGTTTTTATTGTGCTTATTTCCCCCAGCATTTCAGAAAGTATTTTTGCAGTATTTAAAGTTTTAGGTCCAAAATAAAACAAGAGCACATCCATGAGATGGAGCACTCACTGGTCACTTAAATGACGGCAGGGAGAGATGGTCAAGGGATCATCAACTCGGGGAGAGAGCTGGTGCACTGCACGGACTGGAATGAATGTCAGGACACAAAACACATGAGTGGCTGAATGGAAACTAATTTTCTCTGCAAACTTTCCCCAAAGTCACAATAAAAGGTTAAAAAAAAATGTTACACAAAGGCAAAAAGAAAAACACAGAAGAGCCCTCACGGACAATACAGGTCACCACAGTGAGCACTGGGGTGCTGACAGAAAGACCAGAGAGAAACTGAGCACTGCTGACACTGGTGAACACTCGAGCACTGAGGCAGCAGTTAACGCCCTCCGTGGTGAGCCAGGTGACCGCTTGTTTTCCCATTTCTCAAGTTTACGTAGGGAAACACGTATCCTCTTGAACGAGAGACACTCTTGTGCATTTCACAAACAGGGAAGCAGCTGAGACACACTGTCTGGCGACCACCCCAGGTGCAGTGCGGGGCCTCACCTTGCTGTAGTAGGAGATGGCCTCCTTGTACTTGTCAATGATGTCTTCGGGGCTCAGGCAATTCTTGGCACGGCCAATCTCGGTGCTGGTGTCAGGATTGATACCATTGGTGGTCAGCGCGCCTGCGAGCCAAGGGGAAGACAACAAACATACTCTGGGTTTTTTTAGTCCATGGCCTTTGTGGTTTCAAAGACTGGAACAAACAAGGGGGTAATTGAATGCGTCCCACTGATCCCACACAGCAAACATTTGGAAAAAGTCTTCATAGTTTGCGCCCTGTCTATAATAGTTCTTAAAGAGCCCTGGTGACACGGTGGCACCAGGGTTTCAATGCTAGCTCTGACATCACATCCCTAGGATCCAGGCCCCAGCAGAAAGACACAGCAGAGCTGCTGTGAAGCTGACCCTCTGGTCAGGCTGGCCGGCCCTGCAGACACTGGTGGCGCCTCGCTGCCCTTGGGGCTTGGAGCTCCACTCCACCCGGCCAGCCCAATTGAAAGCAAACAGGAGACGGATCTAAAGGGGGGTAGTAATGACGGGGAGATGCCCGGCGTCAGGACCCTCAGTCACACAGGCTCAGAAGGGCAGCGTCTGTCCAGGGATCAAATGCTGAAGGTGGGCGGCGAGAGGATGGAGGGGCGGTGTACAGCAGGGGCCTGTAGTCAGAGCCACAGAACAATGCGTGTGTGAAAGCTCGGATGGATGCCAACCTGCCTAGAAATGGTCATTCCAGTTACTGTAATTAATAAATAGATAAACACCACAGCCCTGGCAACCCTGGGGTCCCTTTGCTCTGCCTTGCAGGGCCACACTGAACTAAAGCAATTTGACAGCAGTGGACTGGAATCTGTACGGGGGAAAAGGAACTTTTTTTTTATTGTGACTGTAACCATAGTTTACAGAAAGGCTGGCTTTTCATGTATTCACTGTTACACATTTTCCTCTGTCTCCTCCCTTCCCAGTACACCTGTAAGGCACCTCTTGTTAATTTTCACACATATGATGCTTAGTCACACATTCCTTCCAGACAGCCCTTCACCTCATCTGTCCCTGCGCAGTGCTCAGTACCCCCACCCCCAGTCTCCTCCCCACGTCAGCCCTCCTGGCTCACTGAGGTGGTGCATGGTGGCCGTGCACAGTGGTTGGGCGCGGTGGCCGGACACAGTGGCCATGCGTGGTGGTTGAGCGTGGTGGCCGAGTGTGGTGGCCGGGCGCGGTGGCCATGCGTGGTGGTTGAGCGCGGTGGCCGAGTGCGGTGGTTGCACTCTTCTTTTCAGCAGTAGTTCTCACCATCACAGAACGGCACTCAACGTTGATCAGGGCCGTGTCTGTGCTCCTCTGTGACACACTCGCAGTAACTCGCTGAGCTGTCTGGAAGATGGTGGCAGAGCTGGCACATGTACCCATGATTCAAAGCCCTGGGTACCAGCAAAGGGCCAGGCTGCACCCTCAAGAGAGGCCTGCACAAGGACAGCCAGTCCAGGCAAGGCCCATAACAACCAGTATTCTCAGCCTGGCTCACGTTTCCTGTTTCTATCCAGCCTCGTCACAAAGCAGAACACCTCATTCCCTAGCCATTGAAGTCATACAGGGAAGAGCTTGGGAGAAATTTTCCATCAGAACTGCTGCTGTTGCTGTTGCTGTTAGGTGCCGTCAGGTCAATGACGGCCCACCGCCCTGTGCAGAACAGATCCGAACCGTGTCCTTTGCTGGACCGTCCTCACATCTCCACCACGCTCAGGCTCACTCTCACAGTTCGTCCTGTGTGAGGTCTTCCTGTCCTTCTCTGACCCTTCTGTGCTCCAAGCATGATGGCCTTTTCCAACAACTGGCCTCTCCTGACAACAAACCCAAATTAGGTGCTGCTGTTGTTGTTATGTGCCGTCGAGTGGTTTGCGACTCATAGCGACCCTACGTACAACAGCCCCAAACCCTGCTCTATCCCTCACCAACCTTATTGTCTCTGACATGCCTATCCCCACTACCCCAGGTACAGAATCAATCCATCACACTGAGGGTCTTCCCCTCCTGTGCTGTCCCTCCAAGCTCCCAAGCATGACATCCCTCTCTAAGGACTGATCCCTCCTTGAAACATGTCCAAAGTATGTCAGACGGAGCTTCAAAATCCTTGCCTCCAAGGAGCAGCGTGGCTTCACCCTCTCCAGGATGAACTTGTTTGTTCTCCTAGCAGTCCATGGTATAGTCAATACCCTACTCCAGCACCAAAGCTCAAATGCGTCAACTCTCCTTCTATCATCCGTAGTCACTGTCCAGCTCTCTCAAAGTAGGTTAGACAAACTTTTATCAGCCTTGCCTCTAAGGAGAGCCCCTGTTGCATTTCCTTCAAGATAGACTTGCTTGTTCTTCGAGCAGTCCACAGGATGTTCAGCGCTCTTCTACAACACTACAATTCAAATGCACAGATGTTTTTGCTGACATCCTTATTCACGGTCCAATATTCAGATTAACAGGAAGTACCTGAAAAGACAGGGAGCTCTGGTAGCTTACTGGTAAGACGTTGCAATGCAATCCTAAAGGCACACAGTTCGAATCCATCAGATGCTCTGCAGGAGAAGGATGGGCAATCTCCTCCCATGCATCTAACTGCCTCTGAAAACCTGCTGGAGGGTCAGCTGGGGGTCAGCTCCAACTCCACAGTCCACAACAACAACAACATGGCTTGCATTAGAATGCACTTTAGCCCTTAATCGGACATCTTGCTCTTCAGCACTTTGGAGCACTCCTTCAGAGTAGATTTTTTTTCTCCAATGTAACTTGTCTTTTGAATTCTTAGCTGCTGTTGCCATTGATGTTGACTGTGGATCCAAGTACAGGAAATTATTGACAACTTTGATCTTTTTTTCCATCTACCATCATAGTGCCCATCAGCCCCGTGGTGAGGAATTTTGTCTTCTTGATATTGGGACGTAATCCATCCTGAAGGCTGTGGTCTTTGTTCCACTGCAGCAAGCGTTTCAAGTCTTCACTTTCAGGGAGCAAGATTGTGTCATCTGCGTAATGCAGGTTGCTGGGAGCCTTCTTCCAAGCCTAACGCCACATTCTTCTTCAAATAGGCCTTCTCATAGCTTCGCAAAGCAGCACTCAAACTGAGTAGGTCTGGAGAAAGGATACAACCCTGACACACATTTTTCCTGATTTTAAAGCATCTAGTGTTCCCTCAACCTGTCTAGACAGCAGCTTCTTGGTGTATGTATATGTTTCTCATGAGCACCAATTAAGTGTTCTGGGATCCCCACTCTTCTCAATATTACCCATAGTTTATTAACATCCGCACAGTCAAATGCCTTTGCACAGTCAATAAAACACAGATAAACATCTTTCTTGTATTCTCCTGCTTTCAGCCAAGATCAAACATCAGAAATGAGACGCCCTGTTCCACTGCCCCTTCTGAATCCAGCTTGAATTTCTGGCAGTTCCCTCAATGTATCTCGATGTACTGCTCCAGTTCTTGTTAAATAATCTTCAGCAAGATTTTCTTTGCATGTGATATTATACACATTGTTTGATAACTTCCAGTCTTCTGGATCACATAAGGGTTGGGTTGGTTGGGTTGTGTTTTTCTTCTTTTTAATGGAAACAAATATACATCTCTTCCAGTCAGCTGGCCAGGTAGCTGTGTTCCAAATTTCTTGGCATAGACTAGTGAGAGCATCTAGGACTGCATCTGTTTGTTGAAACTTATCAACTGGTTTTCCATCAATTCCTGGGGCCTTATTTTTGGCCAGCACCTGCAATGTAACTTGACTTTCTTCTGTCATTACCACTGGTTCCAGATGCTTTTTTTGGTTCTTGATCTTACGCTGCTTCCTGAAATGGTTCCGTGTATTTCATTATAATACTCTGTTTTGTCTTCCTGAGCTGCCTTTTGAAATCTTCTCTTCATCTCTTTGACTTCAGCCTTCCTTCTCCTTGCTTTGGTCCAAGTTCTAGTGCAAGTGTCAGAGTTGCCTCTGGCATCAATTTTGGTCTTTTCTTTCTCCCCTGTCTTTGTAATGATCCTTTGCTTTCTTTATGGATGGCGTCCGTGATGTCACCTCAAAACTTCTCTGGCCTTAGTCACTAATGTTTAATGTTTATCTATTCTTGAGATATACTCAATATCATATTTTGATTCTCATGCACTTGTTTTCATTTTCTTCTGCTTCAGTTTGAACTTGCACAGTCAGCCCTGGTTTTGACTGTCGCTATTAAGCTATTCCACAATCTCTTTCCACAGATACAGTCAATGATTCCTGTGTATCCATCAAGTGAAGTCAACGTGTCTGTTGTTGTTGGAAGTGCTGTGGAGTCAAGTAGGACTCATAACAAGCAACAGATCTGAAACCTGTCCCATCCTGCACCATTCTTATCCTCCCTAACACACTGTGTCACTCCACTCCCCGAGGGTCCTGCTCTCCGCTGACCTTCCACCTTTCCAAGTCTGATGTCCTCTCCAAGAAACAGCCTCTCCTAGCAACATGCCAATGTGTGTGAAACAAAGCGTCACCATCCTCGGACTCCAAGGAGCGCTCTGGTTGCACCGTGTTCTGAATCTACGTGCAGGTTTCACATGAGCACAATTACATTTCCTAGAATTACCATTCTTCATGTTATCCACAGTCAGGTATAGTCTATTAGAATGTCTTTGTATAGTGAGTTATAAAAGGGAGAGTATTAACTTTACAGTGGTGAGATCTGGTCAACTCCTCTTTGACAAATGATCCAAGTTAACCCAGCCAACACTGAGACAAACCACCAAACCAGACACAAGGGCACATCCAGCATCACTTCTTCCTACCTTCTCCTCAAAACCCATCACCTCATCACCATGAAGAAACTTCAAAAATACTCAAAAGGAGAAATGTTCTACAAAATAAATAGTCTGTATTCTTCAGAAACATCAACATCATAAAATATAAAAAGGACGGTGAGATTTCTTCAGATGAAATGGCGCATAGAAGCTTGGAAATAAAAGGCAAGGTATTGTCCTGACCTGGATTCAACATCAGAGAAAAGCCATTGCACCCAGACAGCCAGTGGAACTGCAGCAAAGGCCAGAAAACAGACAAAGGCACTAGGTCGATGGTGGGCCTCCTGAGTGTGCTTTTGCAAACGGGACCCC